TTTAGAGCACATCAATTGAAGCACAAGTCATCTGGGTAGAAAGCCTGGAGATCTGCAGGTGCTCTGTAAAATATAAAAACTCACAGCTTAGACTAAAAGGGTTTTTTTTACATGCACCATAACTGCTGCTATGAGATGAAAATAAATGGATATAGCCAAAATATTTGTATTCCTCTCATATGACAAAATTTATAGTGATGAATGTAGGACTCAACAGAAAAAACGGCTTTGCTTGCAGAGGATAAAGGCAAGATTTGGGCACTATTTTCAGCCCTGTAAAGTTTATACTGAAACTGGTATTTTTTCCTCATTTTATACACAGACAGGTATCACTCTTCAAAGCATTGTGTAGATGGATTTTAACATGACAGTCGGGTCACTACTCTTATACTGAATCCAAGGCTACTTGAGTTTTATAGCATATAAAAATCTCTGTACTCTCTGCTTAAAGTTGGAGCCACTAACAGTCTAAGAATTCCAGATGTGGCTTTAAAGCTGTGTTTTCTAGCTTTCAGTGTAGTTGCCTTTCCCCCCCAACTTCAAAACTATATCAAGATGAGGTTTCTAGGGCAAACAGTTCTGGAAATACTGAATGCATGATTCTGGCTCATGAGCTTATATAACCTCCATAGAGAAGAAAAAAGTGATTTTAATAAAGACTAAATAATGAAAAGGGATACAGGTAAAAAAAAAATTAATACCACAAGAACAGACACAGAGCTTGAAGGAGAAACAAAGAAACCCCTTCAATGGGGTTTACTTCAAAAGCCTAGTAAAAATCCAGCTATATTCATAATCAAAAAGTTTTTTGTGAATGAAAAAGCTAATTTAAAAGAGGCGCTGGTATTCCAGCCCTCAGGCTTTCTTCAAGGTAAAAACAACACAAATGAGCAGAAACCTCTGCACAGTCACCCTTTAAATCACATGTTTACCTGGCACTTGTTTAGTTGCTATCAAGGAACCCTCATATCCATTAAATTGGAAATTTAAATTTCCCCTTTGCAGTCTAGCTTCTCAGCTCCATCTGTAAAAACCAAAGCATGTAAAAAAAAAAAATGGGACGAGAGTCACTCTTCTTTTTAATAGCACTTAAATCAAGAATTTTGGTAAGAAAGTTTCGAAGACCAATTTAAAAAGACAAAATGCTTAATCTGAGCTGTCAGTTGTTTTCATTGCAGTGTTTAATTTGGCCAGCTCATTCCGGGCTGAAGTGCCTGGCTCTTTACAGGTGATTGGTGAAGGGATTCTACGTCAGGTTTGAGTAGAATGCCATCTCTACACATTTCTTACAAACATTCTAACACCACAGTAAATCTCATTCCTATAGACATACATGCAAAGTTAGATAAAGGTCCAGTTTCCATCTTCTTTCTTCCCTATCGATTCTCCCGTATTAAGTGAAGGATTAGTTTTACCTTTCCCTGTTTTTGGAGATGGTGCCATAGATTAAGTAATAGATCTTCTGATTCACAGGGAAGCAGAGATGAGAGGTTTTTTTCTGTGCTCTTACAATCCCTAGCATGATAACTTTAAGGTTCATGACTAGAGATAAAAGGAATGTTGAAAGCAATACACACACACACACTTGTTGAAGCTGTCAACATTTATAGGGAAAATATATACGCTGCAATACACTGGTTAGCACCTTTAAACTGTTGGGAAGGAAACATAATCTTTTAAAGATCCATTAATATTTGTTTAGAATGTTCAGAGTAACTTTTATTCTCTGTCTAGCATGGAAAGACAGGAAGTGTAATGCTTTGAATGATCCACTTATGAAACTTTTTAAAATTACAGAAATTTGAAATGCAAGAGAGGGTTAAATTCAGGCAAATTACAGTATTGACTACCCTTGTCTATTTCCACAACCACTATGCCAGGACAGCCTCTCATTTCCTTTCCCTCCTGATTTCTACTGCATTATTCCAGATGTAGAAGCTTGATTAGCTCCAAACTGCATCTGAAAAACAACTTGGGACCTAGTCTGCATTCTCCATTTTGCATCTCTAATGCACTACTGAATTGCTAGTGCTCAGATTCCCCATTGAAAGAAAAAATCAGAAATCAGCGTCCTCAGCATTTATCTACTATTTTTACATCACAAACTGTAGATCCTTCTGTGAAAAATTACTCTGAATATTCATGCCAGTCAAAAAAAGGCATAAAAGAACTCACACAGGAAAAAAAAATGAATTCTCAGTCATAAGGTCTGAGAGACCTTAGAAAAAGTTTCTATTTTCTTTAGTTGCTTATGGGTACTGCAGGAATTACTTCACCTAGGAGATGCAGTAATTCTGTACCATTTATTTTAAGGTTTAGGTTTTGGTAATCTCCACCTACCTTGCTCATCTTGTACTTTGAAAAGCTGGCTGTGTTTGTATCATATGGACCAAGAGTGTTACTACTTTCATAGATCACTTGCCCAATACATCAGAATGATCCTATGGAAGAGAATAATTACCTCAAGACTGTATAAAAAGTACAGGATAATTGCCATAAAATATCCTGTACAACAGTAGCAGGTAAAGAACCATTTATAAGGTAAATCAATGTCGAGGCAGAAAGTATCAGGCAGGGGGAACACTTTTTGACATGTGTCATCTTCATAAACAGCGCAAAATTCCTCTTGACTGCTAAATAACCTTTAGAAAGATGGCATGCCTGAAAGTTTGATTTTGTTACTCTTTGTAGCAACACACCTACACAACTGCTTAGATACTTGATTCCCATACATACCAGCATTTTTCCAGTTAAAAAAAAATTGTTTTAGGAAATTAAGAAGGGAGACGATATAGCTTTTTAATTTTCCAGCTGCAAAATTAGGTCCTGCTTACATTGATCAAATGTAATCCTATCAAATGTAGTTCTGTCGTCATACGGAATCACATAGTGATCCATGGATCACATTATTGCTTGCATGACACGTCCTGATGTCACAGCTCTTTGGTGCCAGAGCAGGTGGGAAGGCACATGTTTGGTGCAACAACCCTCACCTCATTAGTTCTGCTGCTGCCTCTGGAGAAGCCCAACTGCTGTCTCAGAAGCACCTCAAATGACACAGCACCCCTAATGAAGCTGAACCTGCTGTTGAAAGCAGAATGTTAGGACTTGCCAATTGATAATGCTATCCACTGAGAGAAGACAGGGAAAAGCTAAAAACAGTGGCAAAAGAGTAATTTCTGGTAGGATAGCCCTTTCTTGTAAGTATGGCTTCCTTAAATAGGGAAGCTGCAGACAGGAGGAAAAATTTGAACTCTAGAATGAAAACTCATGTAATACAGGAAAATATTATTGTATAGAGCAAGTCCTGCCTACAAATTGATCAGATGCTCCTGTTCCCAGCAGCATTATGCTGGGAATGCTGTGGCTTTAGGTTCACAGAATACTGCAGCTTCTTTAATGCAGAGCCCTCCAAGAAATGCTTTGCAGAGGCACTGTAACAACAACATGGGTTACATCTAGAAAACGAGATCTGCTTGTTATCACTGTTTTAATCTGCTTGAAGGCATTTCTTCTTCTAAATTCACTTCACAGGATGATTCAAATTCACATTCATCACCCCCATTTATTTTCCAAGCTTCATATAGCATTTTAAAAACATAAACTTCTGTGTTTGCTATTCTGTTAAAATATTATCTTCCACCACAGCCAGCAAAAGAATCAAACCTGACAGCAAAGAGTCCAAACTGCAACTTCCAACAGCAAATCCCATTTTAGCAGCTGACAACTCTAGTTCACCTTCATGGTTAAACTTGAAGTTTTCCATGAACAGCTGCACATGGATGAATGGACTCTTTCTTCTGGATTTTATGCATCCTATATATTGATACAACCTAAAAAGAAAGTCAAGTTTGAAGAAAATCTGTTCAGTGATTCTGAAGAAATAGGCTTGACACTACTAAAACAGTCTCAAACAATTGCTGTAGTTTGCTAATAAACAAGCCTCTAGTTTTTCCCAATTTCACCTCACTGTCTATCAAAGTAAAGATTCCACTAAAAAATATATTCTACATCTCTTCAGAGACAGAGGAAGAAAAGAGGAGGTCACTCTCAAAGAATTTGTCTTAAATGCTACTGTGAACAAGTAGACAAACACTTCAAGCAGCATTCGTCCAATTCATTACACAGATTCCCCTCATCACAACCTTCCTGGCATAAAAAATTAATCCAGATGAACACATGCTTCATCCAGTATCAACATTCTAACAACAGTTTTGGGCTGGATATTCCTATATACACTGTTTAACAAGAAAAAAGTTTCTGCGATAAGGCTATGAGGTAGTTTCTAGCTAAGAGAGGTTATGACTGCTCCACTGGTTACTTGCAAATGCTTGAAAAGACACCAAGAGACACCAGTGTTACTTTACAAGTCAAGAAATGTTTTACTTTTCATTTCTTATGTTTCTTCAGGATTTTTGAAGAATCCTAAAAGAACATGTGCTTTGCCTTTAAAGCAAGCAAAGCTGACTCACAAAATTACTCTTTGGAGACCTTGAAAAATAGACAGAAAATTAATATCTGAACAAAGCATTTTTACCACAGGAAATACCAAAATTTAAGGATTTTCTTTATTTTTCTTGCAATTATTAAACATGAAATTAAGTTTGGGCTATCATGCTTTTTAAAAAGTTGTAGTAGGCTGATTAAGTATATCTGGACTCAAAAACCAGTAAGTTACATCAAATGAAATAAAACATACTCTACTGACACCTATGGCAGCAAGTATATATGAGAGCAACCAAACAATATGTGATTTTGTTACAATTGTAACTGAAAACTAGGTATTTTCTTTTATTCATTACTTGTCAATCTTTACAGGTCCACAGCAGAAGAGAATCAACATACAACTAAATAAATTTCAAAATTAAACAAAGAAAGCAAAATTTTAATTATGCTACATAAAAAAACCCTTCTGCTTTTTGATTACATAGTCAGAAATAAATTTTAAGTGCTTCTGGAGATGATAATAATGAGATAAGGATGAAGACACTTTTACAGACATTTTCAAACATTCTTTACTTTTTTGATTTATAGATAATCTATCCATAGTTAAAGGATTAAGTCTTACATTTTCTCCTACAAACTACTAAAACCAGACACTACCCAGGAACTTAAACATATGAAAAAGCTGCATCTATTTAACAGCTGCAGAACTCAGAACAGGACAGAGGCAGTAAAATATAAAAAAAATACAGGAGTTAAAAATCCTACTGCATGAATATTAACTGTAATAAAAGAGAAGACATTAAAACCAGCAGCTAGTTAGGTGCCAGGACATAATAGAACCCATAAGGGCAGGCAAAGAATGATGCTAAGTTAGGAAGAAAGAATCTGTTTTCAGAGAACTTCCTGACAGACACCACAACAAAGCAACATGAATGGTGACTGTGTGGTCCCCTTCTCGTAAATAAATCAGGCGTCAAAGGTTGATCTGCAGTTAATAAGAGGCCTAAGCCTTCTCCAAGGATTTGTAGTACTCTGTCAGCACAGTCCAAGCCTTGGGAGCCATGAAGCCTTCCGGAGGGTTTTGTCCTTCCCGAGCCAGCCTGCGCATGCGGGTCCCCGATATAAAATCAAAGTCTTCATGGCTGGCAGGGGGGGGTGGAGGAAAAGGGAGGGAAAAAAGAACATACATTAAAGGCAGGCAAAGTTGCTCATATTCCTTCTACTTTCTTGATACTTCACACATTTTTTTCTTGGGAGTATAATGCTGTATAGCAGCTGTCATTTCAAGGCCAGCAATGGCAGTAAATCTCAGGAATACACATCCTCTACAATATTCAGCTTTGGTAAATCCTGAGGTTTTAGCAGTGTAGCCACATTTCTCTTCACAGAGAAAAGCAAGGCACAATTCTTCCCAGGAATACTTCTGGGTTTCACATTCTCTGAACCTCAGAGAAAGAAAAAACAACTCTTATCTCATTTACTGCTCCTGTGTTTGTTCACAAGTGGAATGCATTGTGGAAGACTGTTTATCTGAAGGGAACTGGTAATTGGATTCTGGTGTGTGTGCTTTGATTCACTGACCAACTGGATCCAGGTGTGTGTATATTAGGACTGTTGGCTGACAGTCACGAGATTCAGTGCAGTGGAGTGCTTGGCAGATTCAGTTTAGATGTAATGTAACATAGTGTAATATAATATAGAATAATATAGTATAATAAAGTAATTAATTAGCCTTCTGATAAGGTGGAGTCCTCCTCATCATTCCTTTCCCTCGTCAGGGGCAAAACTATCTACTATACAGTAGCATGGTACAACTGAACCCCTGTGGATTGAATTCAGTCTGTGTTTCCATTGAGCCTGGCTTGCTCTCTGTGAGGAAACAAACTCCTGTTGAAGGAGAGCCATCTACTCTACCTACTGTCTGAGCCCTCTGCCAAAGCAACAGCAGCCATCCTGATTTACACCTTGCCTTGCCAGGGCAGGAGACCAGCCTAATGAGCTGGCTGAATATTCCTGTGCTGGTTCAAGAAGGTCATTTCAGTGCCACTAGAGAATGTGTAAAAAAAAATTGTACATCTTAGTGAGGCACTGTTTGGAGAACAGAGAACGTGAAAGCCTCAGTTTCTAGAGGCAAACTTCCTAGCTGTGCTTCTGCCAGACTCTGAGCACACATATACATATTTATGCATATTGACAGCATGGCATATACAGCTCAAAATAAAGAGAAAAGCAATGGAATAATAAAAATACCTTCCCCTAAAGACACCTTTTCCCATAAAAAAACAAAATTCAGTTGGACAAATGAAAAAACTGAAGACAGATTAGGATTGTTTACCATTGTTTACATAAGACTCTAAATTATTATTAACTTCTCAGGTATGTAGTCATAAGCAGCAAAAGCTCCACAAATTAAGTTACTCCTCACAGGACTGAAAATAAAAGCAAGACAGGAATGCCAGAGCTCTATCAAATGTTCCAAAGGAAAAAAATATGTATTTCTAAATTAAATATATAATTTTACTTATGCCGTTTGCTCAATTTGCAACATGTATGCATTACTCATTCTTTACTTGTCTGTTTGAAATAAAAACCAAGTATTGATCTCAGATGTACATGCCTTAGACAGAGACAGGAGCCAAGTGTGCACATCAGAGGGCAGAACTTGGCTCTAAGTGCTGGTCTATGCTCAGTAGGGTATGGAAGTTAGCAAGATGCAGAAAGCATTCCACAGTTCCCTTTCACAATAACACTAGCCCCATAACTTTTTGATTTGGGCTGTATACATTTACACACCAGCACTGTCATACATGCTCTTTTCTTGTTGCTCTAAATTTGGGACTGTGGGTTCCTGAAGTGTCACAAGACAAAAAAATCCTACTGTGCTTTAGTCCTGCAAAATATAAATCACATAAAAATGAAAAATTAAACTTGGTGTAGCTCCATGGGAGAAAAAGTTGGCACTGCTATTTATAACATCTGAAAATTTTATGCCTTAGCAGAGAGATGTCTGCTGTTCACTAACACTGCCTGAAGGTAACTTCAGTGCTTTGCAAAGAGCTATTTATATAAAATATATGTGGGGAAGTGATAAATCCAGTTAATTCTGTCAAAATTCTGTCAAAAAAATACCAAGTGTTCAGATGATCAGGAAGAGAAGAGTAAAGCAAGTACTATGAAGTTACTCCATGTGTGGTTTCCCCACACTAAAGTTGGAGCATTAAAAAAAAAGGTGCTTTATTTCCACTTGTTTCTTCAGATTTCAGAAAAGCACTCAACTTTGTCCCATACCCTGCAAGTGAAATAATGCTACCAAACTACTACATTTAGATATGTCATAGAAGTTTGCTTCAATAACACATACAACTCCTTATCTCTAGTTGCACAAAAAGCAGGTAAGAAGCAGAGATACCAAGGAAGAGAGAAACACGAAGCTAAAGAGATCTATAGAAATTATAAAAAAATGAAAGGAAAAAAGTGAGTGAGCCTCAGATCAGAAACGTAGTACATTCAGTATGTCATAATGTTTCCAAAATGCTATTAAAAATTAAAAATTATGTCCTCACATTATCCTGAAGGTCTATTTTGAAAGGGTTTTTCTTTAAGAAAAGAATTCTTACTCAAATGGGGCCTTGGCAATATATACATAACAAGACAGTATTTTTTGCCTTTTTTTTTAAATTAAAGCATTTACAAATTTCAATAAAATTTCAGAAACTGAGATTCCTGCTAAGGAGAAAAACCTCATCAGTACTGTGACCACTGTGGCATGATGTGACCCACAAGCATTTTGAAATAAAACATATCAGTATGAGTAATTTGCTTTAGTAGAAGGAGATAGCAAAAGGAGTCACCAAGAAATGTCATTCAGAGTGAATTTTGAGGACATTAAGAGTTACTCTATATAAGGTGGATTTGAGTGGAACATGAGAGAAGGAAACACTGGACCATTAAAGATGCTATACAAAAAAGTCATTCAAATCCCATTCTTGTCAGATTTGAAATGACCCTTAATGAAACTTAACACAAGCCTTTTCTGAGCATGGCATTTTAAGTGCCTTTGAAAATTTTACTCAGTAGCTGCTGGAATCAGCTTTCTTTTAGCCACACTGGATGCTACTAAATACTCTTAACATTAACTTGACTTTTTACTGCCAATTGAGTTTGACTGGTACTAACACAACACTTTGTGCCACTGCAATTAAAAGCATTCTCCAAAAAGGAGGAGGAAAAGAAAGCAGAAATAGAACCACAACAAAAATTTGTCAACAGAAAAACAGTCCTGGAACATTTCACACTGAGGACTGGTATTTGCTCAGTGGCACAGCACCCTAGGACTCTACTACACTCACAGTATGGAAGTATGTGAGTGTAGTATGGAAAACACCATACCTACACACAGTGTGAAATTTTCTTACTGATGGAGGACAGGGATTACAGAGACCTTACAGGTCCTGTGACAAAACAAGGACATCATTAGTTTGCAAGGAGGCAGTGACTGCCACAGGCCTACAGGGAACCTCCTGTGCTGGACCTCTGTGTCAATACAGTGCATTAATAAAGTAACTGGAGGGAACATTTCTTCTGCTTCAGTATTCCCTACAAATTTAATCTAAGTATAGACCACATTACATAGTAGATTTTTCATCTGGGAGAAAGACTAAAGATGACTAAAGATCAGTCATAATCTTGGGAACCCTGACCTTCTCTCAGGTATGTGCAAATGATCTTCTAGAAACTCCCATTCTCTGTGATGGGCAGTGTCTGGTGCTCTCAAGGTCTTAAAGAATTACTCTTAAATACAAGAGTCATGATAAAAGTACAAACCATTTATTCACAGTTTTGCCCTTTTTTTTTTTAGGCAAATAGAACAATAGGGAAATAAAATAGTAACATGACTTATTCACCCTGGTCTGTCTTCAAAACAACTGTGATGTTCTACTCAGCTACTAGACTTCAGACTAATTTCTGGGACAATTCACAGCCTCCTTATCTGGGGTCTAATTCTAACCTTAAACTCCTTCTAGAAGGACTTTCTCTGAATTTAAATTTGCCCTTGCAGCATCAAGTCATGACTTACTCTGTAACTCTTACAGGAAGTCAACACTGTGCCTTGGGAATGAATGTCCCATTATGCTGAATGAACCAGCTAGTGCCAGCTAGGTTCAAATCCTAACCAGCGTGGAACAAACTTGTAAAATTAGAACACAATATTGTGATTAATATCAACATATGCAAAGCAAATCCTTTCCTAATTCCTTTCTGACTGGCAGTAGGGTTAAAGTCTCCCGGCCTGATGCAGTGTATCTTACGTTATGTACTGATGGTAATTGAAAAACCATATTTCACATAACTAAATTAGGGAGAACAGTCAAGTGTGCTTATTGCAGCCTCTTACTACCACTTTAAAAATCTAATTTGAGAACAGTATGTACTTAGTTGGAACAGCTCCCCCATAAGTATGATTTTATAGGATTAAAGCAGTAATGGCAACCATATTAAAGGTCCCAGGAAAAAAATATATAAAGTTAAAATCTCTCTTCTTCACAGATACCCATGCTTCATTTACATTTTATAGGCAGCATGAACAATCTGCTCCAGTCACCTTACTTATGGGTTTCTTTTAGCCAAAATGTTCTCTTTCGTTTTCTTTCAGGGAAAAAAAAAAAAAAAAAAGTAATTTAATTCCAGACACTGTTGTGGCTTTTTTAATTGCCAGACTAATTTCCTTTCTTAATTGAGTTTTTTCTCAGCAGCAGTCTGTGGCTGCATTTTATAGAACTGATCTTCCATAAAGAATTGGGAATCTCTGCTCACAAAACCAACTTCTATTATTAAGCCACCAATCCCAAATTACACTTGTCTGTGGTAACTGTTTGTGAGGCTTTTTTGGCTGAAGAATCTCACTAACTGATTTTCTGAAGGAATTTCAGCATTGGGTAAGCTTTTTTTTAGGGGGGGTGGGTGGGTAGGGGTGTTATTTGTTGGTTTCTTGGTTCTTTGGTTGTTTTCTTTACACTTCACTCTACCAGTTTACAGGTCAGACATTCAATTTAATTATCCATTATAACTAGAGTTCTTCCTATAAGCTTTTCTAAAACACATTTGTATATATTCAGTTACAGACAAAAAATTTTATGAAATATAAAAGTGCAAAAACTTTGATAAGGACTATAATAATATTCCTGCTAGCTTTTATATGCATTAATTCAGAATTCTATGCAAGTGGAAACGCTCAAGCTTCCCACACAGAAACTTAGATTAGGTTTTCTATCTGACTTGAGCAACAGCAAAAATGGCAATTTTATTTTTATCATCCTCATTTTGACCAAAGGGAAAAGAAAATCAAATTAGTTCTACCTGTGCTGCTATACATCACTTCAAATGCATTCCTCAAATCACTCTCCTAGATCTAAGTTTCAGACAAATTGTTTTTCAAACAACAAGTTTCAAGAGTTCAATTTCATGAGGTGCTAAACCTAGTTCTAAGATGTCCAATAAATAAATTTAAAGTTGTGCAGGCTTCATGAGGTAAAACACTAATATAATTCCAAGTCATCGGTTGTTCATATGTCTTAATGTTGGGGTAACTTTAAGGGGAGTAAGGGGTAAGGGGTAACTTTATTTAAACATTTTATAAAAGTTAAGTTTTGTGCACCACTTTGCAACTACGCTTGCTGTGCAGCTGTTATTAATGCTTTCAGGTCAGTCTTTCCTTACCCCCTCTCCTCACAGATAATGCTCTGTTATCCTGAATGCAACCAGGATATTTCTGCCTTTCCTTACTGACAGGGGCTAAGTGCCTTCAGCTCCCACACAGCACACAGCACTGTTGACCAGCAGCACAAGGTCCTGACACACCAAGTCAGCAGTCTCCACACTGGTCCCAAGCAGCCACTGGATCAACTGAAACCCCAAGGGCAGCACATGTTCTGGAGGGTACTAACAAAGTGAGAAACAAACTGACCTTCTATACCAACTCCACAAAACTGTGCTTGTGCAGTCACCTCTGAGAGCAGATGGCTTTAAGCACAATAACCTCTTGGAATCACAGGCAGCACACCAGAGCAGTGAGGGCCTCCGGCACTGATTTGGAGACAGGACCAGTGTAGGCTTTTTGTTGCTTCCCAGGCTTGCCAGCAAGGTCATGAGCAGCTCAGGCACAGGCAGGTCTCACACAGTTGCCCAGCACCTGACTGGAGGCAGCTGACCAGCAGTGACCCAGCCTCTGAACCGATCCCCACAGGCATACAAGGAGTGCTGTCCGCAAGTGTTACACCTTTCTCATAAAAGCTGCGCAAATCAACTCTCTGCCACTGCTAAATCTTCAGCCATAGCTTTTCAGACATCCCTCTGGCAGCTGGACCAAGCTTTTGGCAACCTCTCACCATGAGCCAGAGATTCATCTACCACCATTCTCATGTTAGGACTTCCCTGAGAAGCCAAAAGGTATTTCACTAATGGCAGCAAAGAGCCCCACTGCAAAAACCTCTGCATGTCTTTGCTGCCAAGCCAGGTGTGGCTGCGACTCTGCTAGATTACAGACACACTCAAGGCAGCAGATGGGGTCTACTATGGCTTCTCACAAGCACCTTCCCAGACAGAGGAGTCCAGGAGGCCTCAAAGAACAGAAGAGATGACCACATGGGAAAAGAATAACTACACCCAGCAGCTAAGACACAAGGCCAGCTATAGCTCAGTCCAAGGGAAACCCCTTTGCTGTAAGCTTCCACACATTCATTAGTGATGTAAATTCTGGAATTGTCTAGTTGGCTGTCAAATGCCCAAGCCTCAAAAATCTGAGAAAGGTGCAAGAGATAACCAAATTACCCTTTTCTGATACAAGTCACAGCAATGCTTCTATGCATACAACCCTCCTTCCCACATTTTCACACTGTGTTTTTCACCAAGTGAGCTCAGGAAATATTTCCACAAACATCACTATTTCACATCCAAGGGTCTTCCACCAGTACTGATCATCTCATGTTTCCAGGCAATCCTCTCTTCCCTGCCATCCTCCTTGCAGAGTCAAACACCACATGGTCCAGGAGTCTGCCACATTTTCAGCGTTACACAGACTATCTTGAAAGGCAGCCAGCTACACCCACCCAGGCTCTGACTCTGTCTGGAGCCTACCACAGTGCTCCAATCTGGCAGGCAGGAGCAGTGACGGGAGCCTGCACGGGTCCGCATTGCCACCTAGAGGATTGCTGCACACACCAGCCCATCTACAAACAGCATCCAGGGAAAGACAAAACAAATGGGCAGCACCAGGGCAGAACTGCACATTAGTGGCAGCATGGCTTTTTTTCCATGACACTTATAGAATCATGGAAAAAAGAGCCCCAAACCAAGGCTTCACAGACACAGTGAAAGGATGAAAGGGTGCACATGATGCAGTCTGACAGAAGGGAAAATCTGTTCCCACTACTTTTCATAAAGAAATCTCAAAGAGTTGTTTGGGTTCTCTTTAATAATTTGCTACGGCTAATGACAGAGGTATAATTTTACTAATTTTACTTGACTCAAATCACATCTGTCCTGCTAAGAGTACAGTATCGATGATCAGAGAATCAACAGTCTGAATTTTGGCCTGTCACATTGCTACTCCCTTAATATTCTAATTTAGTAAGAACTGATATACCATTAAAACAGCTTCACTTTGATCTTTCTGTATTGAAGTATGACCAGCAGGTCCAGGAAGGTGATGTTTCCCCTCTACCCCACTGTTGTGACAGCCCACCTGGAGTACTGCATCCAGACCCTAGGGACCTCAGCATAGAAAGTCCTTGGATCTGATGGAATGAGTCCAGAGGAGGGCAAAAATTTTATCAGACAGCTGGAGCACCTCTCCTCTGCAGTCTGCAGACAGGCTGAGTGTTTAGTCTGCAGAAGAGAAGGCTCCAGGGCGACCTTATAGCAACTTCATGTTCCTAAAGAAAGTTACAAGAGAGCTGGAGAGGAACTTTTTGCGAGGGCCTGTAGTGATAGGAGAAGGAGGAATGACTTCAAACTGAAAGAATGTAGGTTTAGATCAGATATTAGGAAGAAACTCATGCCTGTGAAGGTGGTGAGGCACTGGAACAGGTTGCCCAGAGAAGTTTGCATTTCAGTACCAACTTTGACTGCAGTTTGATGTAAAACAAAAGTACATGTCAATAATCTGAATAAAGAGGGTTACATTAAAATGACAAGTCATCTTCCCAGTATTATTCATTGTCACCAGAGCAACACATACACAAAGTTTTGGACACTGCTATCCCACACAAGGGAAAAATAACACTGAAGTATGCATACAGAAGATTAAATGAACTGTTCTGTAACTGGATTAAAAATAAAAACCAACAAAACAGCTGAAAACCCTGGGACACAGAATATTCTTAGGGCATCATTGTGCTTTATTACTATTACAGAAAACAAATAGCTATTTGTCACTCCATCTTGTCCACTTTCTTTTCCATGCTGCACACTCTCAGTGTGTCTCTTCCCTCCTATCTGATGCACACCTGACACCTGAGAAGCTTATATAGAAAGACAAAGCAGCAGAAAGCTAATTTTACCATTATAATAAATAATAATATCTTTTTCTGGATTTACCAATCTGTGTCATTATGTTCCAGAATCAGAGAAACTCCAGTACCTGGGGAGTATTCAGCTAAAGTTAGATCAGGCAGCTGCACTGTGAACCAAATCATGCTGAAATAAAGCTACATTTGTTTAAAATCTCATCTTCAACACTGCCCTATTTGAGCAATATAGATTTAATTATGAACAAATTTTTTAATGTGGGCAGGGGTAAGAGGCCACTATTGCTCAGAATTTTCTTAAAATGAAAATATAACTTACTGATCAGAGTCATAATAATCCATGCACTTCTTTTTTTTATTATAGGCTGCAACCCTGAAGGGTACAATTTCCAGTGCTCGGAGGCCTGGAGCCATTGTGAGCACTTTGGCACCATGGGTTGGTTCATACAGGTCTTTCCCAGTGTCAGGGTGTGGCATCCCTGCTGGATCTCGTCCTACAATGTAGAAGTTAGCTCCTGCAACCATCCGGGATCTGCAGTGCCACTGAACCTACAACAGAGACAGCAAAAACAATTAACAGAAGAAAAGGCTCTAAAACTGCAGCTCTCAAAATGGGCATGCACTCTGTAACTGCTATTTTTCCTTAATCAGATGTGAATTTTACTATGGAGCCACAACATAATAAAGAACCAGTTAAGTTGACCACCATCAAACTTACAGCTAAAACATACTGTCCCCTTTTTATCTGCACAGTAGGTACTCAGAAAGTTACTTCAGCACCATCTACACATTCAGAACGGAAAACCACCCATATTCAGCATTTTCAACTTGTACATGTGGCAAGGATATTGTTCAAGGTAGAACTAACACTTTGTCTGCATGAACATTAAAACCCAAAGGGCATATAAACCAGGTACACATTGCACATGAATGCTTGTAATAGATTAACGTTCCTAAGCAGGTGAATTTATTGCAGTTTGATACAGCTTTCCCTTACAGAACTCTTGCTTCTCTTCCAAGGCACTTGTCAGTAATGTTAAAAATACAAAAAAAATTCCTAAATTATATATATAAAGTTGTCCATTTGGATTTTTAAAGACTGGAAGGACACATTCATCCTGTAGATAACCATATCACCATGCTTGTTCTTCTGTAAAGCATTTATGCTATAGAAACAGATCTGGTACCAATGACTTTTAAATAACCTATGGAAAATTATTAAAGAAAGAATCTCTCTTATTACTTGAACAAATATTACTGTCAGGCTGTACTCTGATAGGTCATAGGAGGAGGAAAATATTTAAGGAGAAAAAATTTATCCTGTTCAGAATAAGGAATGGGGATTTTGCTCCTCCTCACACATAGAATGACAAAGAAGATTTCTGTTAATTCTCATAAAAGGCCTATGGAGAGCAGCAGAAGAGTACCCACATGAACTCACTCACTAGATCTGGACTGCAGTTCTTTCTCTGGACTGAAAGGCAGAAAAAGCTCTGTTTGACCAGTCAACTGGCCAGCAGAAAATAAGTGGCATCTGCCTAATTTAACTTCACTGGCAAGATCTCCTATCTATGAAAAAAGTTCCCCCAGAGTTAACCTCAGAGCCTGGAAAAAGGAATGAGATGGAGAATCAATATCCCCTCAAGGAACTGTCCTCAACTAAGAACATTTATTCTTTCTGCTGCCTCCCACAAACCTCTAGGGACTCCAACCCAAGACCTGGCTCCTAAACAAAGTGTTGCCAAAGAATTATTTCATACAAAAGCCTCGAAACAATTCTCTCTGAATTAAGTTTGCCAAAAAATAAACAGACTGTTTTTTTCTAAATTTGTGAATGCCCCTCTAACATATAAACTTCCTGCTTAACAATCATAAAACTTAAGTATTTTTAACATTCAGAACAATCACTTGGTATGTTAACAGATCTGATAATTATTTCTAAAAAAGACCATGAAAAAAGGAGGAAGGATTAAATTATTATCATATCCTTGTAATTGTAAGGAAAGGAACCTATAAACACAGTATTTTCTCCCAGCATTTCCAGCAAAATCCTCCAATATAGAAGTTTCTTCAGACGATAATGTTTTGGATGGTGACAGAGACTTGATAATCTGCTTTCTCAAGCAAAATTAGTCTCTCCCTCCATTAAAACCACACAACACACAAACATCAGACATCGCACAAAATACCTTCGTGCACTATGAAAAGGGTTTTGTTTCACTTTAAACTCCTGACGTATTTACCTCAGTTGGTCCTGCATACATCATGGGGGAAGGGAATATAGCTACCACTGTTGTTTCTGGATTCAGGACTCCCTCCTCCAGCACTGCAGCGTGCTGCTTCATGCGCCACATGAGAGGAACATCATCCTCCTTTGTCCAGCCCCCGAGGGGGTGCAGGAGCAGCACCGGGCGCCGGTAGCCACGTTCCAGAAGCTGCTTGTGAGTGTCCTGCATCAAAAGCGCGTGCCCGTTGTGCACCGGGTTGCGTAACTGGAATGCAAAGACAGCATCTGGGGAGGAAAAAAACAAGACAAAAGATATAAGAGAAGCAAGTTATTTTATCAGGAGGTGTACAGGCATGGAAAAAACTTCAGTATATGTTTTTCTCTGAGCTCTATTAAACAAGTGTAATAGCAGTGCTCGTAGGTCATTGAAGAATTATCAATTATTACAAAATCACTGTACTTAGTGTTGTAAGTAAAAGTTATGTTAAATTAGGGTATAGTTCAATTATATTATATTAATTATGTTATATTAATTGTATTATGTTAAGAGTGGGGGGGATTATTAGAAAGTTCTAGGAAAAGGGTGCAGGGTTTGGTGGAAGGGCGGTCTGGCAGGGCAAGACGAGGTCGAAGAGGGACTGGATAGACGATCTGACCAATCATTCAAAGCCCTGCAAAAGCAATTGGTCCAGAATGAATGACATTAAAGACCAATGAGAAGCCTGGAAATGGACCAATGACCATGCAGATCCAAAATGGACCAATCCTGGATTCAAAATCGGCTATAAATGCGGGAAGCTCGGTTGGGTTGGGGTTCTTCTTTTAGGAAACTTGTTTTCTGGGGAGAACCCAGTGCACTTGGGGGTAGCGCACTGCTCTGTTTTTGGCTCACTGTGTGGGTGCGTGGGCTTATCCTGGGTACTCTGTTCCTTATAGCTATTTTAATAAACAAGAACCTCTTTCTCCAGAGAAAGTTTGGTCTAGTTCATATTCATAACACTTAGTAAGAAAAACTAATTAAAAACAACTGTACAAAAAAAAAATCAGTTTCCTTAACTTCTGAATTTTCTGCAGAAGTACTCTAGTTTCTCCGACTTCTATTTGGATTTTGCACTTGCATAAAGGTATTGTATTCTAATAAGAAATAAAACTATGCTACCTATCTTAAAGGCTAAATATATCATCTAGAGAACAAATGGAGCTCTTTGGAACAAAACTAATGAAAGGGGATTTAATGTTCCTTACTAAGTTTCCTTCACCTTAGTTTAGAAGATTTTAAGCACGGTAAGAACAAAGCAAGACTAACTGCTATTCCAGAGTATTACAAACCCTTCCATGAAAAACCCTGCCACAGGATTTCCCTCTCTCCTGCAAATTCAAATGAACTTGAGTGCCCTGCAAGACAGCAAAACCACAGTAACAAGAGATTCTCCAATATGAAACCAATGAAACCTAGAGAACAGGGATTTTTCAGATCTCAAATATGTGTTAGTTTAGGGGTTAGCCAAAAGACTGATATTGCAGACCTACAGCTCCTAAACAGAACCTACAGACCACACAGAACAATGACAGGAGCTCAGGACCAGTTGTGTTTTCATTTTCAATGTTAATCTCTCTCCTCACATTTACAAGTGCAGCTGCCTGCCAGTCACTGCCACAGTGAAAGCAGCATGTTTGTTCTCTGCTTTATGACATTCCTCAGCCTCTTACTTATATGCCTAACACAACCGCTTTTGTGAAAAAAATTGTTTTATTTCTTGTGCTGGAAAGAAACTTGGCACCAGCCTACCTGCACTACCTTTCATAAGCCTTGTTCCCCAGAAGCAGCATGGAACAGACTTAAAAATAGCAGAGCATAAAAGTTCAGCATTCAACCATACCTCTGTAGTTTTGGCCAAACATGATCTTTAAATCACAACTTACCACATTTTAACATTATCTTTTCTTGCATTACTAACATGTCTACAGTGCATGGAAAGATAAAGTTCAGAACCTCAGGCATTACCAGCTTCTGTTATGCATTTAGGCAATGCAATTCCTCAGATCATAAAAATTATTTCATTTAAAAGCAAAGAATGCCACCTACAAGAGCATTCAAAATTTTCACCCTTGAAACAATGCCAGCCACACTGGTGGCAGCAGACCTTTGGATAAGCCTCTGCAGGAAGAAAGAAAGCAAAAAAAAAATTACTCACCAGCATTCATTTCCTTGAATTTCTGCCTTAGTTCAGCCGGAGTGAGGCGGTATTGATCTAGTCCATCATTCCAATAGATACGATCAAGGACCTGTAGATCTCCACCCACAAGCCAGTTCCCCTGCTCCATAACCATCTAAGAAAAAAAAAACGTCCTTGTCAGGATTAGTTATCAGCTTCTCTTATCAAGAGCATTGCAATGGGGATACATCTTTACCAAGGATTGTGTCAGGTTAATTTTGACAGCTGGAAGTAAAGCATCAGTGTTAAAAAATGAAAAAAAAATTCACTGGAGCATGGTCCAGACATGTTATTCCATGATGCAGGAGAGATGCACAAACCTTTTTTACAAAATTGAGATAATATAAAGAAATGCAAATAGCCAATATTCTTAACCAACACTGCATGACAAACAAAGATAGAGTCTTGAAAGCTCTACTACAATTTATTTAGCATATATTAGCATATATTTTTATTAGCATGTTTTTAAAATTTAATTACAATATAGCAATACAACAAAGCTGCACACTTAATAGTTATTGGTCAAAGCAAATGCTATTGAAGCTTTTGTACTCTGTAATACAATGCTGCAATACAAGATATTGCAGCATTTGAACTCTGTAGTTTACAAGATTCTAGTCAAGAATAAAGTAACAAACAAAACAATTCTGATTAACTATTCACCCATTTTAATCTACAAATAAAATCACAATCTTTGAAGCAGAAGAGCTTTTGGACTTGTTTCATAGTAGCAGTTTACCCAAGTAACAGATGTTGGACAGTCACTACACTTATTTTTATATCTTTAAATATCACCTCATGCTTTATCAAAAAATAATTATGGCAAGCTGCTTAACATACTCTACAAAGAGACAGACATTACTGTGAAACTTAATTTCTAAGAATGCATTTTCTTTTGAAGACAAAATCAAAAAACTTTCAAGTTTCATACACATTTCTGGTAACTTTTTTAGCCTTATGCAATTTAGAAATGATAATAAATCTTGATATAACAGAAGATACTACATACGAAGCCTAAAAGCCAAGGTGTGAAAATTAGGTGTGATTTTTCAATTTATTTTTTCTTTGACCTGCAGGAATTAAATGATCTCACAGTAACCATTCCCTTCCTGAAGAAAATACCAGATCTTGACATCTTACAAAGGTGAAGAGAAGGTGTGATAGTGGTACAAGGATGAGAAAACTCTGCACTACAGAATCTCTCAGGTACCCAAATATTTCTGATTAAGAACAGCCACCAAATTAACATGCTATCATGTTACTGCTATACACCCCAGTACAGGCATAAGAACATAGTTCCTTATCTTCTATATAAGTCATTCAAATTTGGTCTGCATGAGATTTTCTTATAAGTTATTGGATCTATGTTAATTTTTCAATAAAGGGATAATCTTATCTTCAACATCACAGAATACATCAAGAGCTTTAAAAATCTTCTGTTGGTCATACATATACTTTTACAACTTTTCAAAGGCTTTCCCTTTTCAAGAGCAAGCTCATAATTTGAGGTATGCTTGATTTCTCTTTACCTAATTATATGTCATACCTGTTAACAAAAATACCTCAGAGACAAACGGGGAAATAAACATATTTTGGCTCTGCAGAGCTGAGATGTAACATTCACATCAGCTTGCATAAGCCAACAGAGCACTGTGGTGAGTGTGTTACAATTAGAACATTTCAGTGTGACATACACAAGGGCAAGATAATAAAACATAATGAGCACAATGGATGGGAAATTACTCCCCAGAGAGCTAAATGATGAACTCTCCAGGAACAGGGCCTGTTTGAAAAACATCTAAAGCAGGCAGGTCTCACGTGCACCACATGCAGGCAGAAAAGAAGTTTTCTATCCTTCACAATGCATATATCCACTGATTAAGGAGCTTTGATGATCCATCTGGTGACACAGAGGGATGTGTTTCCTAGGCACACTGGAGGGCAAAGTTCCCTCTTCTGTAGCACAGATTCTACAGTACATTCTAAATTCATTTCATGTGTACATATTGACATTAGATTTTCACACTAAGTACAGACTATTCAACAGCTGCACAGAAAAAATTACCTTTGTTTCTGCTCAGATATTTTAACTAATTTTCAAAGTAGTTTTTTTGTCAAAGTACATCAATCGGAGACATGCACTTCAATGAATTTGCATCTCCACAACAGTACAGCGAACAGGAATACATTTTCAACTTTCAAACGCACCTTGATATAGGGATGTTCCTTGCATGTGGTTCCCCACTGCCTAGCACAGCGTTCCTCTTTCCTGTGCTCGTAGAACTCGGGATTACGGAGAATGGCAACGCGGCGACCTTCGTACACCAGCGCAATTGCTGTGCACCCATCGAGCCTTTCCTTGTCTTCTTGAGTAGCTGTTAGCACTATAGGCACTGACAGATTAATAACTCCCCCTGCAGAGGGAAGGAAAAAAGCCCTTTATCCTTAGGAACAGTCATCGATGTTGTTATGAAAATCTACCTAATTAACATCTTACTTTTAAGGCTGTAAGTGTATTACATGACAGGTAGTTGAAACACTTAACTTAACAGGGATTAAACAACTTTTAGAATGAACTCATTCTTCCATAAGACACACATGCTATAAAATTGAGCAAACATTGAGGTTTGAGAAAGAGTACACTGAGGTTTGAGAACACTGTACTGAAAATACAGCTCAAACACAATACACAGCAAGTACTTACAGCTGCACAAAAATATTTAAACTGGCAGGATACTGCTTTTTGGGAAACTTAATACCTTTCTTAAGAATCTATAAAAAGTAGAAATACACAAATAACATTTTAAAATAAATCATCTAAAATATCAGACAAGATTATTACTGGAGTGGGTAATTAGTAGAAAGGAAATCATATTCTCAGTAGACACAATTTGGGCCCCTAAGAAAAAACCATTGCAATAGGAGCAGACAAATGTACCTAAGTAGTTACCATGCATAACTGGACTGTTGCAAAAGGTAACTTTTGTTGTATACTTAAAACTGTATTCAGATGCAAGCATTTACCTTCCAGAAAAAACTGCTGAGTCAGGCAAACATTCTGCATAGTTTGTTCAGCTGAAAGTTTACCAGCTACTTCACTTCTAAAACTAAGGCAATATAGCTGAATTTTAAGGTCGTGTGGTCCTTCTTTTTAAGTATCTACTTCACTGCCAGATGCTGAAGTCTTCTTTTTCTTTTCTACAAGAGTGAGGTTTGAGAAACCCAGCAGAGTAAATATTCTAAGTCTTCTACAAAGGCCTGGGTTCTAAACTTTTGTGTGGTCTCCAGGAGAAAAGTCATAGACCCTTTAAAGTTAATGGAGGTTTTGGCATTTGCAAAGACTCTAAAATAAGGCTAATTTTGCTATAATTTAAGCAATACATTTTTTATTAGGAAATTAAATTTCTTAAGAAATTAAAAATTATAAACCTGGATAAAAAGTTTAAGAGAAAAATACATCCCCCTTCTTTTATAATGCAAAATGTATAATGCATGCTGTGCATCTCCTTCTAAATTCAGTCTTGGTGCCCAGTTATTTTCAAAGCAACTAGGTCATAAAACTGAATTTGGCAGCAGTCACACAGAGTGGTTTGACACCCCAAAAAGGATAAAAAATTGCTTTGCAGACAAGTAAATAAATACTTCAATGTATGAAGAGATGTCAAACCTGTTGATTATTTTGTCCATGACCAACAAATAAATACATAATATCTTCTACATTTTTCTTCAGCGACTGCACAAATAAGAAACTGAGGCAAGACAGTGAAGCAAGTCTGTTAAATCACAGATGAGCACAGTGTCAGGATGACACTTTTCCAGAGAACTTAATCTTTAAAGGGAGACTATCAACACATCTGCACTGCTCTCCACAGCTCAGAAGTCAGTCAGCACGAACACTGCTTTTAAAGCCCAAAGGATGAGATGCACTGCAGGTAATAAACCATTTCCCTCTCTTCAGAATCAAAGCCCTGCAAAATGACTGCTGCTGTAGTACCCAGAACTAACATACAAGCAAGGAGGAAACTTTGAGGGTGTTGTTTTGACTTAACTGTTGCCATTGCTGCAACTAGCAAGGCAGCTTTAAGGCAATCACATTTTTCTAAAAAGATTTGCATATGTAAGTGCTGTAGTAGATCCCTAAAAAGAGAAAATCAGGAGCAGGACATTTAGAGGAACATAATGATTTTATCCAAGCTTAGGACTGAAAATGGTTTGCATCAAGAAGTTGCTATTTTTCATTACTCGTATTTTTTGTAGCACAGACGAAATACTCAAAACAACAGCAAAAGAAGTTTAAAAAATTGTTACACTGTTATATCTGAAACACTCACCCATACAAGGTCTTAAATGCTTTATAAAAATCCTGATTTACAGAAAATTACAGGACAGGACTAGGACCTACAAGCTATTTTAGCAGTTGAATGCATTGCATATCATCTGCACAGGACTTTACACCTGGATGGATGTACAGAAGGCAAATGAAATGAGAACAAAACTAGCAGCCCAAAATTATACTGCCAAGTAACAGCATGGCATTATGCTATCTGGGATAGCACCTAGACAAAAGGAAATTAAGAAATATAAGAAGGATGACAGATTTCTGTATTACAGAATTGAGAGAAAAGCAACTTCTTTTTGTTCTGCTATTTGGTCTCTAGCAAGACAAGAGTGATGCAAAAGGAAGCATGAATATAGGAAAAAGGCTGGAGTAAAACAGCCTTGAGACAGGAATAAATTAAAAATGACAGAGGATCACAATCAAACTCCAAAATGTGAGGATGTTATGACTTACTATCTAAAAGTTCTTAGCCAACTGGTAATGCAAAATAAAATTTATTCATTTAAATCATCCCTGGAAATTACAGTAATTCAATTACACGTGACAATTGTTCATACTCAGATTCTGATTTCACACTTGCAACAGCTCCAGCACTCAAGTCAGTTTGTTGTCCTTTCCTTCATTACTAATACAAAACAAATCTTTTGGTCACAGAGCTAAATAACAATTAAATTAGAATTTGAAATTACAAGATAAATTTCTTCAAAACAAATTAGAAGTATGTATTTTAGAATTAAATGTTTTTCAGAAATTAAGATATTTGAAAAAAAAACTGTAAAGGCAAAAAGACAAAATATTCAAATTCTAATATGATGGTAGGTATAAAAAGAATAAAACCATCACATTTAAAACTGGTTATTTATGATATTCTATTCCCTTATCCCAGACCCAAAGTTGTGCACAACCATGATAATGTTTTACCACACCACCACTAGAAGGCAAAGTATCAAAAATATTTTGGAAGTATGATTAGTTTGCTCAGTTTTACAAATGGTGTGTTTTACCCTACCATCAAGGAGACAGTCAAAGTGAAGGCACTGGAGGTATTCTCTCTCTCTCATAAAGCCATTCAGGGGTGTTGCCCAACCTTCTGCTAGCACTTGTACCCACTGCATATCCACCTTGTAAAGAAATGAAGAGATAGACTTAGAGCAGATAAAAGTTGCTGCTTAATTACTGGCATCAGGTATTAATCATAAAAGATCATGCTTTAATTCTAAAATGCAGAACAGTACAAATGGAAGATTTCTCAGAGTTACCATTTTTAATCACAAATAATTGAAAGTTTCTACAAGTAAGGAAAAAAAACCTTGTTCCTCACTGTTCATATTTTTGGCTATTTCCCAGTCTTTACACTGGATCAAATTTCCATGTGTTAAAAAAACCAAACCAACAAACACACACCAACAAATTTTATTTATAAATCTTGATAAAGTTCATCTTATTAAAATTAAAGAATCCCACTTGCCTTTATCTAACAAAGTAAAATAACAAAGACGTTAAAAAGAAAAAGTAAAGGTAATAACAATATATATGATTACCACTAAAAAAAAAAATCAGAATTATGAAGGTAAATATTAAGAGGTCTAATCTTTAAAGAAATGCGAAATAATTATTTTTCATAAACTAGTGAGACAATCCAGAACTAAAGTTCTCTCTGGACTAGTACTTGTTTTAGCATGAGATATCAGTTTACACATAATTTCCTTCCTTAGCACTCAGTCACACTATGACTTAGTGTGTGGTCTCCATTATTTCTGCATGTGCATTTCTAAGACTTGGTCAAGTTTTTGACAAGGACAGGCTTTGCTTGTGCAAGTCTCTTTTGCAAAGGGCATGACTAATTTTATTACATTGTTTAATTATACTGAGGCAAGTATAAAACACAATTTATTCCCAAAGTCACATCAGAATATCTTGATTGACATTTAACAAGCCAGTGGTTGGGGGTGGAGGGAGAAATTATTTGTTTTTCTAGATAAGGAGCAATTTAGAAAGGGACCCTTACTGAAGTTTAATAATGGTGACCTTAAGTATTTATTCCTCAACAAAGCAATTAATAGTTCTAAACAGATGTATGTGGAAAAAAATAAAAAAATGTGAAAGGAAGTATCAATATTCATTACTAGTAAAAGACCAAGAAAATTTTAAAATTACCTAGTTCAGTGCTTAGTATGTCACCTCAATCCTTCAAGGTCTACTCACAATAAATGCTGAACTCTGAGCTTAGCCAGCTCCTAGATCAAATGCTTAGCTTTAACTTCTAGTAATACCATCAAAAAACCAGCGCAAAAACCCATGCACTGTATCTGTGTTTAGGCTTAGTTATACAGAAAAATGAATAAGGTAGAACAAAAACACAGCCAGAAGCAGCTTCATCTAATTGCTCTGAGTTGAAAAATAATGTATTTAACCAAAATAAGAATAGGGCTGATCAAGTTGTTCCATGCTTTTCTATATCCTCTCTGCTGGAAACTAGAAACACAGCACAAGTATGCTCTAATCAGCAAAAAAGCAATAAACTAGATCTGGTCTTTGCAATTGTTTGAGTTTGGTATGCATATTAAAAGTTAATGTTGTTCAGCTGAAGGCTACCAGCAGGAAGAATCAAGAAGTAGTAATTGATTTCCCCTATATTTCTAGGCAATTACAATTCACAACAAAATGGTTTATGTAAGTAAACTAAAAAAAAAAGGAAGCAATACTTCTAGAAACAATTTCTCATACAAGACATTCCAGGCATGGTTTCAGCCATGGATTTGGAGGGAGCGTGGGAGGAAATCACTGTAGATTTTTGCTCCAGGGTGGGGATAAACTAAGTAACACTATACCAGACATTACTCATGAAAGCATGAAGATATATTATCTCTGGTAAGTAAACAAAGAAACCACAGATGCTGTTACTTTCACACAGGGAAAGAGGGAAAAAGTCTATCAAGGTGTATTCTGTAACCAGTGCAAGTATTTCTGCTGCATCTATTTACACTAAGCAACAGATCAGACTGTCCTTCAACTGCAGCAATGAGACAGCTGAACACACAATACCTTATTTATTTCCAGGGTTAACAGAGACTCAGCATCAGTTTTGGCCAACTGTAACTTGTTTTCTGGCACATAAAGCTCTTTCACCTCATAAGAGGCATCCACTGGTACAATGTCCTGTATAAAAGGAATAAACAGAACTTAATGTTTGCTCAGAATGCCTCTTAGGCACTGAACATACATCAAGAAGTAAAATTCTAATGTTGCACTAGACAGCAGCAAGAATTTATTAATTATGCAATTTTTACTCATCTAAAAGCCAGCACTGTTCCAAGATTATGATATGTTGTTGTTAGTTACTCAAGCCAGCAGACTGGCTAAAGTGAAACATTCTGACAAGAAGTTTTTTTCTAAACCTTAAGTAACTCATATAACATTTATCTAGTAAATATTTAACTATTGAATTGAATGAAGTTTTTATGACTTTCTACTGCATACATTATCTACAGTAGAAAGGCAGACTCAATACTTTGACATATGCTGAAGAAGTAAGAAAAGATTTAGAGACTAAGCATTTATGATTTTTAGTTATTCACTAAACAAGGCACATTAGAAATGGCAACATGAAGGCAAAATACATAAAGCTCCTTCTCTACTGAAAATTAATACAGAAGTACACATTAAAAGTATTTCCTACAGCTAATGCCATAACACCAGTATTTTCATCTATATCCTAACTCTTAGAATATTTAAATGTGACATCATCTGTGCATATATATGCAACGAACCAAAATCTAACTCTATAACCAGCATATTTTTATTTGAAAAAAATTCAGTGCTCTTCCATGTGTATTAAACAAGATATTATCACTCCACAATGCTTAAGACTTTAAACTTGTTGGAAGAGATCAACAAAGATGAAACCATAATTAAAAGACGAGAAGGTCATCATGATAAAACTGTTAAGAGTCTCCTCCAGCAAAGGATGGTGTAATATGTCAAAACCCAGTCAAATGTTCCAGTGATATTCAGTAGCAAAAAATCAGTGAAAAGAGGCTGACTATTCTTTTTAAAACACATTTTTTAGTGTTTGAGAAACCTTTGTAAAATAATGCTTTACTTTTGGAGAAAAAAAGCTCGCCCTTAGAGAACAAACAATAATTAAATTATCTTGACTTTTCCAGTATATGCAGGGTAGAATAAATAGGCATGCTTGTAGAAAACACAAGGTTAACTCAGGAATTTTAATGCATTTATCAGACCTTAGGCACTACCTACACGGAAAGAAAAACAAAGGCAGTAGAATAGGCTGACAAGTGAGAGATAAAATGACTAAGCGATTATCAAGATGTGATGAGTTTCACTGCCTGTTGCATAATTCATATGCTCAAAGACGCATCAAAAGAAGACAAATTAAACTAGCACTTAGAAATGGTGTTTGATAAGGAAAAGCTTGATCCATTACATATCAGACATCACTCTGGAAGCAGATTTTAATTCACTGTAAGTTAGGCAAAATCAGCCTTTTGTTTTCTCTGCCTGAGCAGCAGCATGACAGCCCAGGAGAGCTGCAGCAGACTCCTGTCACAACAACAACCCCAGAATCAAATGAAGGTTTTGCCTCCTGTAAGCAACACTGTAATGATGGAGTGCACATTAAGCTGCCTCACAGATTTCCCTCTGGACCCTGCCTCATTACCAGGCTAGGATGTCCTAATTTTACAAACCATCAATAGCTTAAAATAAACGTGCCTATTAAAAAGATCTCTTCAAGTATTACCCTGGTTTTAGTGTCCCACTAATGGGCAAAACAAAGGTTTCACAATGCAGTTTCTGTCAACAATCTACTTCATTATACAAATGTAAACAGCTTGAAGACAGTTCTAGCAACAGGGTCTGACATTGGGAGAACTTGCAGGACTACTAAACCTAGACTCCCTTGCACACATGAAAGTGGTACTTAAAACATCAACTTAGATTACAAAAACATCAACAAAACAAGAAAACCAGCAACAAAAAGAATCCATGCATCTTTAAACTGCATGAATTTTAGGAATCAGGAAAATGTTAGGCTAGCAAGCCATCTAGTGACCATTCTGAGGCATCAGTTTTACAGAAAGCTTAATTCTACCAAAGGACAAGTTAAAGAATATTCCACAATATTTGTTATTTCACAAGGCATTAGTATAAAAAAATGACAAAATAATAAAAAATAAACTAGAAGCATTATGGAAATGTGCCTCCTCACACTGGGATGGTGGGTTCTTTGCTGATGCTGATTGCCTCCAGAAATCATCTAGTCCAGCCTCCTGCCCAAAACTGGTCCCACTACAGCAGGCTGCTCAGGACCTTGGCCAATCAAGAATGTAGTATCTCTAAGACAGAGATGTTAAGACAGAGCACCCCAAACACTCAAAGCAACTTGTTCTAATAATTGACCATCTTTATAGCAAAAGGTTTTCTCCCCTATGTCTAATTTTAATCTCCCGTATTTTATTTCATGTGTGTTGCACCTCATCCTATCCTTGTACACCTCTAAAACAAGTCTTCATCAGTCTTTCCTATACTTTCTGACTTGGATGACAGAAACTGCAACAAGAACTCCTTTAGCCTTCTCCAGGCTGAACAAATTCATTTCCTCTCAGCCTCTCCTTGTGCAGTGACATTCTCTAGCCTCTGACCACCTTGGTGACTTTGTGCTCAGCTCACAGAAGCACATCAATGTCTGTTTTCTTCTGGGTGAAGGAGAAGGGCACAAACAAGGTATGCACACAAGGTCTCACAAGTGCCATATAAAATTTCAAAATTGCTTCTCTTGAGCTCCTGGCTATGCCCTTGTTATGTACAGTAGAGCATGCAGGTAGTCTTCTCTGCAGCACAGGCACATGTTTTAATAATGCTGGCAAATATACAATTCTGAACAATTTATTTCATAGAATCATAGAAGCATACAATGGTTGGGGTTGGCAGAGACCTTAAGGATCACCAAGTTTCAACCTCCCTGCCATGGGTAGGGACACCTTCCACTAGACCAAGTTGCTCAAAGCCCCATCAAACCTGACCTTCAACACCTCCAGGGATGGGGCATCCACAGGTTCTCTGGACAACCTGTTCCAGTGTCTCACCAGACTCACAGTAATTAATTTCTTCCTGATATCTAAACTACCTTCTGTCACTTTAAAGCCTTGCCCCCTCAATAAATGCCCTTATAAAAAGTCCTCCTTCAGCCTTCTTATTCAAACTACAGGAAATCTACAGAAATCATATTCTCAAGATAGCACTGCATTAATATAGTCTAAAACCAAGACAGGCCTGTTTAAGCCTTGCCTCGACTTCACTGTCTCCCACAGAACTAAGCAACTCCTAAGGTATCGTGCCATTCATTATACTGTTATCTTCAAACAAGAGGAAAAAAGTGCTAGATGTGCCTTAAACAAAGCTGACTGGGCTAGGAGCCAGCAGTCAGCACTGTGTGCCAATGCAAGCCTTCAGGAATCATTATCTTGGCACATGTGACATAGGTTTCTATAACTATGAATTGTTCTGAGCAAGAGGCACAGGGCCCCCCAGTCAGGAACTGCCACCTCTCATAGGTAGCTCCTACACAGCTCTCTTATTTTCTTCCTAAAAAATATTCAGATGGGGATTTGGGCAAAAATTATCTTATGGTTTTCTGCCCTGTCTTATCTCCTGAGCAACCCCAAGCAAACAGTCATCCTTGAGGAATTTTCTTGAAAATTTCAGTGCAATCTCTCCAGAGCTGTACTTACACAGAGGGTTAAAATTAACTTGTACCAGCTGCATGATGAGCTCGTTTGCTTGTATCAACTTCAATACTTCATACAGCTTTATTTACTCAAACTACTGTCTATACCCAAAACTTCCAGAACATTCAACTGACATAAAAAAAACATGAGTTATTATGTGCAAGAGTATCTCCGTTAAAAAGAAATAGTTATCTGGAATGTCATCCACTAACCACTGACTATAGAGAAGAATGTAAAGAAACACATTTCTTCTACATGAAGATTAGAAAATTCTGGGGGTGTGGTTCCAAGAGGATAAAGCCATCTCTTTACTGCCTTCACTTTTAGTGTTGAGTTTGGGGTTTTTTGTCTATTTGTTTTGTTCTCCATGTGGCATTTGTTGGGGGTGAGGTTTTTTAGGTTGGGTAATGAGCCAAATCTACTTATCAGGCAACAAGAGAAGGCTTGGAGACTTCAAAAGGGATGGTGTTGATTGCAGGCATGAACAAGGAAAGAGATCTACCTTTTCAGAAGCTATGAACCATAAACTCAACTCAGCCATGTCAGAAGAAGATAGCTTTCTGAGCTGGTCATTACACAATTGCAGGACTGCTTTTACTAGTACAAGACAAACAGCAGCAACAAGGGAAAGCAGACACAAGCACAGCAGCCCCTATTTAAGTGAGATCAAATCACTCTGTAAGTGCACTCCTGTCTCTTCACATGTGCAGTATATATTAATTTGTACAGTATAGAGACAATGTAAAAATTCAGACTCTTTAAAATTGGTTGCTAGCATTTTTAAGTCAGCATTCACTGTTGGTTCTGTAACAACTGAGACAGCCTCCTTTCCCTTTCAGTTATTGATACAAATTAATTTTCCACTTGTCCAAATCTTATTTCACTTGGAGATCAATGCTGTGCATTGTTTATATTTAAAAGGAAACACACAATAGGACAAGTTTAAAAGTTTGAATTCAAAGATGCATAAGCCTTTATGTCTCAAAAACTGTCTTTGTTTTTCCCAGCACTTATATTAAGATTACGCATACAAATACTTGGGAAAAACGTTTCTAAGACATGTCTCCATTTCTGCTCACCCTCTCTTGAAGAAGTTCCACAACTTGTTGTATACAATCATTCACATCACAGGAATCAGTTTTCAGCACAAGCTCTGGGGCTTCTGGTTTTTCATACTCAGAGTCAATCCCAGTAAAACCTACAAAACGTAAAACAAAAATATTAGGTTACTTCCTCCAAAAGATGACTTCACTTTAATGCTGTTCACAGACAGTTTTCTATGTATAAATGAACGCACACAACAGGCAGGAACATGGAGTTTTAGTTTCCTTAATACAGGAATTCTTAGGGAAATCAGCAGGTTTTTTATTTATCTTCTTTCCTAATCATAATATCTGACAGCATCAAACATCAGCATTCTGCAGTACATACAAAGCACTTATTTGTGGTGAAGCTACTTGATGTTTACTGTGAATAAAAAAAAAAGAGCGCTGGCAGAAGAACTGTGCACATCAACCCAGAGCTTGTCATGCTATCAACTGATTGTTACTCTTAAAAAAATAAATAAAGGATGAAAAAATATTACTAGCATCCCTGCATATGTAAATTCACACTCATACCACCAAGCAGAACTCTGAAGTAAGGAATTCCAACACCTTTTACATTAGTTGAGCTAATATGCTCATCTCAAGATAGCTGCTAATGTAAGATTGATGACTGTGTTTATTATAAAAGCTGTCACAGACTGTACAAGCTACCAGTGACACTTGTTCTGGCCTACTTAGCTTGCAACCTGCTTTGAAATTGTGGAGATTCTGCCACCCATGCATAAACAAGAAAAAAATCAAGCCCAAAGGCAAAGAGTATCAGCACTACAAGTCACATCTGGATCAGGAATCTCAGCTGGGCTTCAGCAACTCAACACCTGCATCCTCCACAAATGCAAACATTAGCACTCCAGTTTTTCCCTTTGGATTTAAATACCCTCAAAACTAGTAGTTTAGTTACTCCTCTAAGAAAAATATCAATTACTGCAGTACCTCGTGTAATAAAGAAAGGCTGGTACCTTTTCCAAAACCTGTATACTTTAGAAGGATCTGATTACTGGAGGAGTGGGAACATGAGACAAAGAAAATGTCTCATTACCATTTCCAGAGGAAAACATAATAACAGTTGCTCACCTTCCTTATGAATTGGCAAGTTTGTTTAATTTTTATCTTTCATATATCAGATAGGTCATAAGATAAAGTCACTGCTACACCCACTTGTATCTTACTCAGGCACTGTTTACTTCACTACCACTTCTTCAGGAACAGTTCCATTATGTGGCTTGTAAAATTAACAAAGTACTAAGGATGTTCACAAAATAGGCACAAATAAGGATTCTGTACAGAACTGTATCTTTGTATCATGTCAGCTCAAGCCATCTTGCTTTGACTTTGAACAAATCTTTGTTCAGCTTTATTTATTCCTGGTGCTTGCATGAAATATTTTGTAGCACTAGAAGTATCAAGCAACTACTCACACAGAATGTCTTTGATTTCTTGAATTTTGTATCACTTCTGATTAAGGTGAGTTCATACAGCATCTGCAAACTCCACTCCCAGAAGTGATTACTTTAAAAATCCTGCTTTGCTACAAAATACAGAGCTATCACCAGCTTGTGAAACTATAACATAACAGAGTAAAGCAGCACTTGAAACAATATTTGCAAAGAATGATTGCACAGCTAAGCTCTTTTTATTGCAAGTTATACTTAAATCTTGACCTGAGGCTGGGAATAGGAAATAATGTTCATGGGCACTAGACTAGAATGCAGATTTAAAAGTTAGTATCTTCAGAAGTGCTCTTACTGGTCTTTACAGGTGACAGTGGCCGTGTTTTACTTTTTAGAAGAAACTAGCACATTTTACAAATGCAGTTCTTTAAAGACTTTAGAAAGAATTAAGCTCTTTTCAACTGGTAAATGCGCACACAAAGGAGACACACTAATCCTCAATCATTACGTGGTTTCTATTGCAACCTTTAATGTGCTCAAGGCTTTTTCTATCTGTGGTTAGCCACTTCCTCCCTTTTACTGTCCTACACACTTAGCTACTCAGTTCCATGAGTTAGAAGTTAATTCAGTTTTCTTCCCAGTCCTGTCCTGAATCCATGCTCTTTTTAAGGGTGATAGACTTGAGCACATCCACTCATCTGGAGTCAAATTACACCAATGGTTCACTAATTACACCAATAATTACACTCCTGTAGAAAGGATGGGATTACATCTAAATTCACCTTTAATTTCTCCAGCCCTGGCTTTCTTATAGAGTCCTTTAACATCTCTCTGCTCACAGACATGCAATGGAGCATCCACAAATACTTCAAAAAAAGGCAAACTTGCCCCTTCATGAATTCGTCTGGCATTATTACGATCCTGCAAGAAAACAGAAGAAAAAAACTAAAAGGCTGTCCCCATATATTTTTACTGGTTTTTGCCTTTGAAATTCATTTTAAAGAAGATGACAGCCCAATGTAAACAAGCTTTCAAAGTTTCAAAAGAGAAATGTGATTTGATTATCTGATGCCCTGCAAGGTACATCACTTTGGCTACAGTACATCACATGGTAAAAGCTGACAGGAAGATGTGAGATATTTTACATTAAACTTGATTTATAACAAAAACCCACAACCAAACCCAGCCAACAGAATGCAGGGTTTTCTATATCCATACATATATGTCTGAAGAATAACATCTGCCTAGTTGAGTACAGCAGGGAGGAGGTGTTATCTGCTGCTCTTGATATAACGACCCTTCTCTCCCAAGTACCAGTCTTCCCTACATTCCTTAATCTGACAAGACTTGTGTAGTCAAAATATTCTATTATTTGCATTATTTTATCATATTCTTTTTATGGCTTGCCAAGCATTGGAACAATATTGGTGACTTTCACTGAGAGAACAAAAAAATTCTTCCAAAATCCACTAAAATCTTCTCTTACTAAATAATGTTCGTTAGTTATTTTTCTCATAGCTAGAGACTTCTGTTATACTGTAGAGTTTGAGTTCCCCAAATTATTATCAGAAGTGTTTGCACCACTCTAACCAAAGAAATAACACATTCTCATGCTGTGAAACACCTAAGCTTAAAGTCCCTGGGTCATTCTTCAAGAAACTTGGGTGTTCACACATCCTTTTTGTCTCTCCCCTCCAGGTTCTTATGTACAGGTGAAAACAGTCTTCACACAACAATGTGAACATGGATTTACATTAATTTTAAGTTTTAAATAAATATCATATTGTATACACAACATGAAATAAAGTAAAAAGAACCTACAGGCAATTAAAACACTTTTCCCTTAAGTCACTTGGTAAAAATAAAGTTCTCATCATTCATTCACTAAAAGAGAAATTGCTTTTAAAAGCAATTTATCTAAGCCTTCAGGTTAAGTGTACACCTAGTCTTCATATTTTAAAAGTACTGGAATCTACATGGATCAAACAAGATATTGCAATTTTAAGGGTCTTTCTTGGAACATCACTTGAGCTTGTTTGTACTATTAGAGTAATAATTCTGTCTAATGGACTGAAGGATAGTTCCAGTTAGAGAACTAATGTCAGCATTTTATATTTTAAACTAATATTTCTGTTTTGAGCAATCATCTCCATAAAGCACAAGCACCACCAAAAAAAACCAAAAGCAACCAAGTAAGTATTTGATTCTGGCTACACTCAGAAATGGATTTCTGTAACTAGGATTCTGAATGATATTTTACATCTTCCCTACACTTCATCTAGATTTTTTTCACACTTACCTGAGCATAAGGAGAGATGAAGCTAGTAATGCACACCAAACCAGCATCTGCAAACAATTTAGCAACTTCAGCAATACGACGCACATTTTCCTCTCTATCTTCTGGTGTGAAACCCAGGTTCTTATTAAGGCCTTGGCGGATATTGTCACCATCCAAAGTGTAGCACGGAATACCATGGCACACTAAATACTCCTCCAGTGCCATGCTCACTGTGGTCTTCCCAGCACCAGACAGACCTAAAATAGTCAATAATAATATAAATATATAAGCATAGGAACAAGTTAAGGCAAGTTGTAGTACATTGTGAAAATCCCAAAGTGATAGGCATCAGCAGCAATGCCTTCTGGATAAGCTTACTTGGAATATAAGCCAAGTGGCTTTTACACAGACAATAGGTAAAGAGAGAGTAAAGTAAAGGGTTTTCTCCCTCTTGTGTATCTGGGAGGAGGCTGTGGTAAGTTCACTGATGATTTCCTAAGTTAAATCAGCTCAGTGTTGAGTTGGGCAAGAGGTACAGCTTGTGCTGTGCAAGAGAAGGAATGCAAGGCAGGAAACAGAACGGTCTTCTTTTGGCAGCAGTTACGTACACCCCCATCACAGAAAATAGGCACAACAGTCCAAAAGAAGATTTCAGCAACTTCTTCATTTACTTCTCACTGAGGTCTTTGGCTTGCCATTTTTGTCCCCACATCTAGCTTGCTATTCACTCACACGATCTGTCTTTTCACACATCATTTGGTCTCCAACATGCAATGAATTGCAAAAGTTAAGGTTACACATTAACGTATTTAAAAACATTCCTCAAGCTGACAAGTCTTTAAAATAACTTACACTCTAAAAATTGCATATTATTTTACACATTAAAGCAATGGTTTTCCACATTTTTCCCAAATTCCTCAGTTTTCTTTACGAGGACCCTCTGACTCAACATTCATTAAAAAAGACCTCTCAATAAAGGTTACCTTGAAAAATGGAAAGCAAACCCTGAAAGACCTTTCCATACACTCCAACTCCATGAGTGCTGACAATGTGAGAGAGTCTTGGAGTGTCCCAATATTTCAGCTTTTATTCTATTACCTATTAGAATTTTGAAACTCATGTTTGCATGGTTCTAGAATGACTAATATTGCTTACTTCAATGCCTACAGTCCTTTTCACCCTTTCACATTACTGTTCAAACATCTTCAAAAACCTAGCTTCCCACACATATTCTTGATATCTTACCACCACCCTCCTTCCTGAAAAAAAAGGAAATTGAACATTAAGATTACATTTGTTTAAAAAGAACATTGACTGGAAAATGTTGCCATGCAGATAACTGAGAACACATTTTTATCATGAACTTTTTCAAAATTAGATTAATCAATTACCAGAAGAAACAGAAAGGCAGCCCACCAGATCATTCAAGCATTGAGACAGGCTGGAGCTGTGTGATGCAAAGAGGGAGAGAACGGGCTCCATTCTTTTCCCAAAGAAATACATGACAGCAAGGAAATCTGCTTGGAATGGCTCACAGCAGTTTGTTAATAATGACTGCTTTACATTTCACACACATTTACTAACACTAATGGAAATCAGTTTTACTTAATGTAAATGTAGTAAGTTTCCCTAATACTTTTTATCTTTTATGTTGCAATACAACAATGTTCTAAATGTTTACAAGCCAATTAAATTATATATTTTGCTATTTTTTAATTACCAGAATAACTAAAAATAAAAATAAAAACAAACAACTTTACAGGGAATATTTTAAAGCTTCCAAAAACTTTGAAAGACAGAAAAATTTCCTCACTGTTACAAAATAAAAAATGTCTTCCAGAATGTATTTATCTTCTCTATATACAAAAAAAAGTCCCACAGAGCTGACTTCAAAACTAACTGCCAGTATGCATTGCCTAAACATGCAATTGCTGTCCAATGGCACAGGTTTATATTGAAATGTTATTTCAAACCAAGGAGACAATAAGAATCCAAAGAGAAGAGGCTTTTACAGAAAAGATCCAGAAGTACAGACTCTTACAAAAACAAAACTGCGCTGCATTTCATTTCTAAATAGATAAAATGGACAGTACAGAGAGACAGAATTGGTTAAAACAAAAAGAGTGGGGGAAAAAAAGCAAGACACACAAAGAAAACCAAAATTAAGTAGCAGACAGTATCAAAAAACAACCCTCTCAGAGCACTGAACAAAATATATTCTCAAGTTACTATTTGTCCCAGAGCAATTTCCTGCTAGTCTACCTAAAAATAGTAATAAAATTGCATCAAGGTCTTAGATTTCACAAACATTCAATGTTGCATGCAAAAAATAGCTACAGCTAAGTAGCTTTTCAAAGGAGTAACTAAAATGAAAGGATCCTCAGAAATCCATGGCTGTACCTGTTAACCAGACTGTGCATCCACGAAAACCACTTCTTGTTCCTACCACTTGGCCCCTCTTATTCCTGCTGACATGATGAGCTTGGTAGGTAACATTGGTTGCCCTTTGCATTCCCTGAAAAAGAAGAAGTCAATTAAGTCTTTGATAAAGGGTGAGTTGGCAAAGCAAACAAATTCATCCACAGGCACAAAGAAAGACTTGAGGACAGAAAAATGGAAGTAAAACCAATACTGATTCCATCAGCTCCAGCAGGGATCAAAGGCGACACAGGAAATTAGAACAGTCGGCCAGAGACAACCACACCCCTTGGGCTACTTCAGTGAAGCTTGGGACGGACACGTTAATCAACTTCTACTTTCAAATAAAACTTGCTTAAGAAAAATCAACTATAATAAAGAGAAATGAACTGCTAGAACTGCTTGAGTTGATTTCTATTCAAGTACTGTTAGGGATCTGCTTGGTAGAGTACCATGGAATAAAGACCTGAACAGAACAGGAGCCCAAGAAAACTGGTTAATATTCAAGGACCATCTCATCCAAGCTCAGGAGTGATTCATCCCAACGAAGAGGAAGTCAGGCAAAACCAGCTAGGAAACCTAGGATTTCCTATGATGAACAAGGAACTCCCAGACAAACACAAAAAGGAATCCTATAGAGGGTGGAAGACTAGGGAAAACGTGGGCTCTCTCTGGATGGAAAAGGGAGACATGGTTACCAGAGACATGGAAAAGGCTGAGGTAGTCAATCACATTTTTTGCCTCAATCTTCACTGACAAGTGCTCCAGTCACACCACCCAAGTCATGAAAGGCAAATGGAGGGACTGGGAGAATGCAGAACCATTGCCCAAGGTAGAAGACCACATTTGAGGCCATCTATGGAGCCTGAAGGTGCACAGGTTAATGGGACCTGATAAGATGCACCCATAGCTCTTGAGTGAACTGGTGGTGGAGGATGTGTCTAAGTCATGATCCACCATATCTGAGAAGCCACAGCAGTTTCTATTGAAAATGGAGGAACATCCTGGTTTTGAATAGGAAAGTAAGGAAGACCTGGACACGACAAACCTACCAGTCTCTCTTTTCTGCCCATCAAGATCATGGAGCAGAAGATCCTGGAAACTATACTAAGACACACAGAAAATAAGGAGGTGATTTGTGACTGCCAACTTGGCTTCACCAAGGGCAGCTCATACCTGTTACATTTGGTGGCACTGGCTCTTTGGCTCATTTTTAACTCCTCAGAGGCCTTTTCATTGCAAACTATGCACATCTCTTCCAAATTTCAGTTAAGCAAGTGTCTTTATGTGTGACACAGTCTCCAGTCTATCATCAGTCTCCAGACAAGAGATAGTTATCATTGATTCTAAATGTTTAAAGAAAGTATTATTTCAAGGAACTTTTTAAAAAATTTATTTTAAGGATAGGGGTTTTAAAATATAATTTTAATTAAAATAAACCTGGTTACCGAGTTTCTTAAAACTATTCATCATAATAACCTGCTCTACAAATAAATTCAGTAAGATGAGCCTGCTGTCAAACACATTTCACAATCTGAAGTGAGAGAGCCCACAGGAAGATCAGCCTTGGCATCATCCCAGAGTTTAATGGTATCTGGCTATAGGAACTTTGTTTGTGAAAGATCAAGACCTTAGACTGTCAGACCATGCATGAGCAATCAAACACAAAATAAGACTTTAAAAAAGAGAGAAGGGGGGCAGGGGATGAGAGGGATCAGTGGTATCTTTAATCCTGCTTTGGCTTCCCTTGTTTGCAATATATTGCCACTACCTTCTCTTTCATCATTGTATCAGGGCCAGTCAAAAAAGAAAACATGCAGTATATTTAATATAAAAGAAAGTAGGGACTATAGTCCTCTACAGAGTACTAGCAGAGAGCTGTTCATAGTTTCAGAGAGGGACACCACAAAGCAGAATTAACAAAAATACGGTATCTACTTGTGGCTTCAAGGACTGCTGCTACAGCATTCTTCTATTCAAAGGTTTATCTATAACTAATTTGGAAATCATGAAGTTGTGTGATTTTATGCCCCACTTCTAGACATGGCTGGGCTCACAGCTAGTACAAACAGAAGCTCAAGGTAAGAACCTATGTTCAGTTTTAAACACAATAACTCCGTAATTCAGTGGTGACAGTCCAGCAACTAAAGTGAGATGAACACTGAATATCAACCCAGAAGAAACCACAATCTGCAAACAAGTTATAGCCATACAAAATGATGTTACCCTTGCTGATCATGTTACTTCAAATAATTTATCTCCTAAAACAAAGTTGGTTTGTGCACAAAGTGCACGCAATACAGCTGACTAAAACCAAAAGTCAAAAAATCAAAATCTTTCTTCTTATAGCAGAAACAATTATGCAGTACATAAAATTGGAGATCTTAGTGAGCAAATTGTGGAATTAAAACCAACACAAATAATTGAAGTGCTTCAATTAAAAGCTATATAGTGCATAATGAATGTACACAGCCATTCAAACTAACACAGTAATAGCTACATTCTCTCATTAATTGCAGTTGTACTGCATTGTACCAGGCACTGGAGAAACAGCAGTCTCAAAGCACAAATCCCATGCCACTGTCTCAGGAAGCTCTCCTACAAGACATAAACCCACACATGCTTGGCTTTTGAACCCTGGCAACAAGTCTGTTATCAGACTCGTACATTAGAGGTCAAATGTCTCATCCAAGGAGACTTCTTCCAGTCCATATTCCATAAGTTATATCAGCTTCCTCTCTTTTCTAGGAAACTAGGAAAGCAGCAATGAAACTAATCAGGGTATTACACTAGGTTTAAAAAACTCATGAAACCCTGAGGAAGTAGGCTAGAGGGATTCTTAAAATATGAAAAAGACACAACTTTTATGAAAAAAAAAGTCTTAATACCTACTTAGCAGAGACGAGAAATCACAGCAAGGAGAAGGAGAAGGCCTTGCTCAAGGATGAGGCACACATGTGCAGTGGAGCAGCCAGAGAGCTGAGCAGAGTGACAATAACCCACCTGTACTCCAGAAGCAGGCACCCAAGACTAAAGGTTAAAGTGCCCAAAGAGTCTGCATGCACTCAAACACACACCTGCCAGTCATCAGCTGACCAACCTTTTGTGTCTGTGTACAGGCACACAAACAAGGCAGCTCACTACTAATCCTGGGCAAAGCAGTACCCAAATCCCCCTTATCTTCTGAAAGAAAACCAATTTTAAAGAGGTGCTCTAAAAAGTTAATAATTTAGCAAGTCATTCTCTGTTGCTGAAAAAAGAAAAAAAAAAAAAGTAGTTCCCGAATTATGTTCACTTTCCTATTAAATAATTTGCTTCCCTATGATTTGCCCACACCACTGAGCATATATAGCTGATCACTGTATCTTCAATAACCCAAGTTTTTAATTACTATCCCTGACATACAAATACAAATATTGATGTGGCACAAAAAAATACTCACTGGCACATATTGTTTGTGGTCTTGAATTATTTAGCAAGTCTTCAAATTCTTGTACATGAAATTTGATGACTATCAACTGATGAAATTAAATGACCAACCAAAATGATACCAGACATAAAGAACAGTCATTTCCTTTTACACTATATCAAAGCATCACTTTGGAGATCTATATTAATAATGTTAAAAGAAATGAAACTAAGGAAACATGGATAGAAAAACAGTGTGATGAGCAAGTTCTCTTTGAAAAAGCTATTTTCAAATTCTAAGCCCAATTACATTCACTATAGCAGTCATTCTGTAGGGACACACTACATTTTTGTAAAGCGGCTAATGAAAAAGAGGACATTAATCACCAAGGTTTATCTGCATTTTTAACAGCCATTAGATATTTCCACTCTGACATCCCCATAAAAATGTCTTCCACCCTGCAACACACGGCTTCTGCATTCTGTAGACAAACACTTCACCTTAATATTTTCCCTCCTACTTTGCCACGTAAAACAGAAATAGTGCTTCAGTCCATTGTGCTTCATTATAGCAGTAATGTCAGCTGAGAATGCTGATAAATCCCTCCTTTCTTCTCCACCACCATGCTGGTTCATTTCTCACAAGAAACCTAAATTGCTCCAACAGGCAAACATCTTGGGATTGAAGTAAAAAAAATGGTACTAAAGAAATCCTTTCTTGGATGTGCACTGGAGAGCTGCAATGATAAAGAGGGAAGGATAACCCCGCTGTTTACTTTTCCTGCCATGAAGGTAAATTTTAGCTTTGCAGGTAGTTGACCAAGGAAATTAATGATTACAGACATCTTGGAACCATGGGAACAAAAGAAAGAAAGAAAGATGATGGGGATCAAAAGGAAATACTAACTCTGTCAACTTTTTTATGTACAGACTTCCTGAGATGACATTTTTTTTTTATTATTATTCTTGATGTTTTGCCCAGTTACAGCTATAATTTTTTTATTGCCAAAACCAAATCAGACTATCAGTGCCAAACACCTTTGATGCAAGAACACAGACAGGCAACCAGATGACGGAAAGCAAACCCAAGTTGCAATGCCAAGATCATAAGACAGCCAAAAGAAGAGATTATATCTTAATTGTTTTATGGTTAACAGACAAATGGCATATACACCAGCATAGCTGAATTTATTCCTCGTTACTTCCAAGCAACAATATTGATCGTGATTCCACGATCAATATCAAATTTTAAGTTTTCACAAAGCAATTTACTCTCTTCTGGGGAATGAAGTAAATCTTTCCATGGCAAGCTGAGACTCCCCAAGCCGCATCATAAACTTGGGACAGCTTGAAGCTGGAAGGATCAGAAAACAGACACAGTTTCCACATAAACCACATACACTGAAGAAACTTCCATATAATTCCATATCTTTCCGCTCTAAGATGACAGTATTGGTTTCCCAAGCCAGGAACCCCCATAAGTTTGCAAAAGCCACACATGCAATCTCCCCTCTGAATTGCAGTCTTACTTTCAATGCCTTTCTCACTTCCAGTCTTAACAGAAGTTTTTTAAGTCATTTGTTAACTTGCTCGCCATGGCTCTTATAAACCAGTGACTCCCTGATAACAACACATTTTTATGACATTTATTATTCAGCACTGATAACCAATTGGTAGCCTTCTTTTTAT